TATCGTTATTCTCATAGAGCAACTGGAATCACGTACTTGCCTCTTGGCCCTTGTCAAAAAGCAACACATCTGCATACCACTTACGCATACCCCATCTCTTGGCCCTTTTGCACACCGCCGTATCCCAGGCGACACTCCAATATGTCCCAGTCATGCATCTGCATATACTCACGCAGTATGACTCCATAACACACAGAATAAGCAATACTAGTATACCTCCATCTCAAAAACACTCAACATCTCACCCGGGCCTCTCGTTTCCCCCGGATTCCACGCGCAGGCGGCTAAATCAGGTATGCATATCGGCATGGAGCATGCATGGTAGGGCGCGTCTGGTCTAGCCCGTATAGGAAAGTGAGGTGATTAGTTCGCCCCACCTATATACTCCGATTGGCGGGGGGCGTTGGCGGTGACGCGGTGAAAAAAATGGGCTTCTTCTTTGCGCTTATGGCTAATAGACATTTAGATCTCTTTGTTCGTTAAGTAACCTTCCTTCAAGTCAAGTCCAGTTAGCTGTTGAATGCTCAGGCTATTGGAGTGGAATCTTTTCCAATTGTACATTCGGCGCTTACTTCCTTGGAATCGTTATGTTCGTATTTGACTATTAGCTCGACATAGTGATTTCTACTTTGAGCGCAATCGCGCGTTTCGATTTTCGACTTACAGTCACCATGCAGCAAGAGATGGAAATGGATATACGGAGGCTGCCCGAGTCAACCGAGGCGGGGAAAGACGAGGTAGACATGGTACAGAAAGGGCAGTTGGAAGCAGCGGAAGGAATGGATGTCGAAGAACAAGCTCAAAGTGGAAAGAGGAGTAGGTTGAGAATGGTGGCTATCATCACTGCGCTTTTTGTGAGTTTAGACCTACTTACCTTCTCCATGGCATCTTCGATGAACGGAATGCCCAATCTCCCTACAAAACCCTTCCAGGGAACACACTAACCACCACCCAGCTCTCCCTCTTCGTCTCAGCCCTCGACGCAACAATCGTCTCTACAGCGCTTCCCACTATATCACGCGACCTCAACAGCGCCACGGGCTACACTTGGATCGGCGGCGCGTACCTGCTTGCCAACGCCGCTTCAGGTCCCATCTGGGCCAAGTTGTCTGACATCTGGGGCCGCAAGCCCATCATGTTGGCTGCACTTGCCATTTTCTTTGCTAGCTCGGCGGTCTGTGCGACGGCGAAGACGATGCAGGAATTGATTATCGGGCGTGCGTTCCAGGGTACGGCGGGTGGCGGGTTGATTCTGTTGGTGCATGTTTGCATTAGTGATTTGTTTAGTTTGAGGCAGCGGAGTTTGTTGATGGTGAGTTGCTTGGCAGGTTTTATCGTGGGAGTGGTCTGGCTAATTGTTGCGTGTAGGGCTTCACCGAAGGCATCTGGGCGCTGGCTGGTGGTATCGGACCGGTCTTGGGCGGTATCTTTGCTAGTCTGGTCACTTGGAGATGGTGCTGTAAGTGACATCTCTCTCGCGTCTTTCCCACGTCTTTCTCTACGAACATGCGCTAACTTTGATCCTTTCAACACCCAGTTTACATCAACTTGCCTATCAGTGGGTTTGCTGCCGTACTCATAGTCCTATTCTTGGACATCAAGCACGAACATACCTCTTTCATCGATGGTATCAGGGCCGTGGACTGGTTCGGCATGTTCACCTTCCTTGGCTTCACGCTCATGATCCTTTTGGGTCTCGATTTCGGCGGCGTGCTCTTCCCCTGGGACTCCGCGAAAGTCATCGCTCTACTCGTAGTAGGCGGAGTGATGATCTTTGCGTTCATTTACAGCGAGGCAAAAGTGGCCAAGTACCCGTTGATTCCCATGACGGTGTTCCGTCGGGGAACAAATGTCGCCGCTTTCCTCGTCGTATTCTTCCACGGCTTCGTCTTCATTGCAGGCGAGTACTATATGCCGCTGTATTTTCAAGCCGTCCTCGAAGCTTCTCCGTTACGGTCTGGACTGCTCCTTCTCCCTTTCATCGTCACAGGTGCGATTGCCGGAGTTCTCTGCGGCCTCATCATGCACAAGACTGGCCACTTCCGTGAGATCATTTGGGTGGGCACACTGCTCCTCACCATTGGTTTCGGCCTCTTCATCTCCTTCGACGCATACACATCGACTGGAAAGGCAGTAGGTTTCGTCATCGTCGGCGGTCTAGGATCCGGAATACTGTTCGAAGCACCAATGATTGCTATTCAGAGCCAGGTCGAACAGCAAGATGTTGCTACCGCTACTGCGACACTATCTTTCGTTCGTAATATCGGCGTCGCAATATCCACCATCATCGGCGGTACCATCTTCCAAAACTCGATGAACGGTCAGGCTTCTTTTCTTCGAGACGCTGGGCTACCGCAGAATCTACTGAGTCAACTTGATGGCGACAGCGCCATGGCGAATGTCATGCTTCCTGCCACGTTCGAGAATGCGGCATGGGAACTTGCTGCGAAACAGGCCTTTGCCTCCGCGATGCGCAATATGTGGATCACGTATACGGTACTCGCTTTCTTGAGTTTTGTCGCAGGTCTGTTCATTAAGGCCGCAGTGCTGGGGACGGATCATGTGGAAACTGTCACTGGATTGAAGAAAGAGAAGGTCGCGGCAAGAGTAGAGACGGACAGTTCGTAGGGTGTAAAACGCGCTGTGGCGTGCACTTGCGCGGGAAGGTGTGAGACAGTCGTTAAGATGCTCGGGGCAGCAACGATGACGTCACGCCACTTGGAAACAAGCCGTGGGCCTTGCGGTAGGGAAACCATCTCGACTCGAAATACTCCAGACACCAGCTATCTAGATGAAATCTCGAACCCTGGCCAAAGTTTCCCTTCTTATCGCTTACCCTCCATGGCTCCATTGTGATCTCTACTCTCGCGCACCGTGCGGCACACCGATTGGAGATAATTATGCGCGATGGTTTGGAGCTTCGGAATCGCCGTCGCCGACATGATCTGCTTCCTGACGCTTAACACGCTTGCATCTTGCATCGTACTCTTCCGGCATCCCAGACGTGCTGTGTGATGACGTGCGGGTAAGGCTGGCAGCGTCGGACAGGCCGACCCCGCCTCGTGGTGGCTGCAGGTAGTCATCTCGCCAGGCCGGATCCCCTGTGAGTAGCGCTCGGTGTGAGCGAGACCTCAGTACTACATCGCATGCAGAACTCGGGAGGTTTTCGTTATAAAAGGGTCGCAGTGCGTTCATTTCCTGGTGTGAAGAGATGGAATGCAGCATCGAGGTCTACAACTCTGCGATGGCTGAGACCCAGGAATCGCGTTGTCTTATCGTCTAGCAGAAATACAGCATCTGATCCAGCATTCAGGGTAAGATTAGATTTCTCTGGGGTGACGGGGTGGGATGTGGGTCAACATCCGCGATAGGTGCGGGTTCCCTGGCACGAGGTTCGTCGACGCCGCATGCGTCCGCGTCACACGGCATGTCCAATCTCCTGGAAGAGCATTGTCCGTATTGTGCAACACGTCCGAGAGAAAATTGATCTCACAACCTCAAAACACACCGCAACGTCAATGAAGAGTAGGGATACCATTCGCCGAACCGTGCGAAATGTGATTTTTACCGCGCTGTCCGGCATCACTGACCCCTCTTTCTGGCGCACAAGGCTTGCTTCCGGTGAAGAAGAACGTCAGAGCTCCTGAAACTTACCGCTGTTTAGTCTGACTTGCGGAGACGCCAGCGACTCGTCGTTTACTGTAGGGAAACGTTTGGGTGTTTTTGCGCTAGCAGCGATGGTTCTCTGCGATCATAACCATAGCGCAGTACTGTGGAGTACCTTCAGTAGTTGTTTAATCTTACCATATCACCTCAGAGTATGTTGGTATCAGCGCCATGTAGTCTCAGAGCCAGTATGGGCCTGCGGTAACAGACGAGGAACCAGCAAATGTTCTCATGCCGTCTGTGATCTTTGCTTTGCTGCGTTCGATCCACGGATATTCTCACTAATGCGCAGAGCTGATTTAAAAATATCCGATCGCGTTCGGTGTTACCCATGTATCTTTGCATATGCAGCCACCACCCGCTGCGATGGGCTTGGGCCAGCGGGACGGATGAACTGCACCACCATCGTGCCATTTGCATGTGCACTTCAACAAAACAGGGCAGTGGACATATGCGAGACTTGCAGAATCATGCGAAGATCCACTAGTGGGTAGTTTTCAAGAGGTGAATACCTCGAGCATCACCTCACTGCCGTCCACGCGCCATTAGTAAGGGCTGGCCATAGTGCGCCGATTACACTAAAAGACCAAGGAAGTCAAAGCTATCGTGATGGCATCTTACGTGCCCATACATTGCCGGCCGCGGCTTCTGTACAAGCAGATAATCTCATGGATATACTGCCATCCACATGAGTCTTGGCGCGGATCGACCGCTGGCCCGGTAGATTGGAGACAGCCGAAGCCACCATAGTGACGTCTGAAGCGGGTCTGGCACATGTTACCAAAGCTTCGAGGGCGTTTTCGTCTTGATTCGGCGCCGCCGTTGAAGCCTTACAATCGGGAATATACAGGTACTAGCGTGTTGTTGTCAGACAGTCGCTCATCACATGCAGTAAGCTTGAACATTCGAAGGCGGTTCGGACGATAACTCTACTTCTAAGCCTCGGCTCTAGTTGATAATTTTACGGCATCTCCGACTTTATGCATCTGTTGTTGGTGATTCCGTGGGAAGTTGATTTGCATTGGTGCATTTTGACAGGCAAGACTCGGAGCGACACTGACTGTGGATGATGATGTGGAAGACCACGGCACATCGCGCAACCTACTAGATGTGATTATATATATACTCGTCGTTAGCCAGTCCTTTTGACGGTTCGATAAACATACTGAATTATACTTGGCTTCAACAGGCAATATCATTATTCTCCGCTCTTGTTTATCCCGACCGATGATCCTTTCGCTTTGCCGGGAACTTGCCACCGGTCCTTCGTCTCACCTTCAGCTCTTCCACTCAAGCACTTCTCGGCCTGCATAATCTCACCACATGTAGCCAGTATGTCTTCCAGGAGCGGGGACTCGGACATCCATCCAGATCGCATCCAAGCCCGCGAGGACCAATACCGTCGCGACAGCCAAGCCAGATACCAGTCCCCAGTCAGGAACAGAAGCTTCGATGTGACCGATCTCGGCGCCATCGGTGCCCTCTTTGATGTGCCTGAGGATGAGTCTTGGCCTCCCAGCCTAGAGCTCACCGACCACGACGCCCTGTCTGACAGTGCCAACCTCACAAAGATGACCACAGATACTAGCATGGATGTACGAAGGAACTCGGTAAGGGGAACTGCAGGCAGATCGCCCGTATCTCGCGCATGCACTCCTGAAAAATGCGTCCCTTACCTTCCATTGTATGAGTACGAGGAACTACAACGACAGAGATCGGCCAGCAGTAAGACTCTCCACAGTATCCTCAGACGCTCTGATGTCTAATCAGTGCTATTATTCGATATGCGTTGGCCAGAGTTCATGCTGACGGATCGATAGAGCGACGCCGAATCTCTGTGTCGACCACGGTAGAGCCCGGAACACAGGACGAACATGATGAACATGACGAAGACCACTATATCGAAATGCACAACACTCCCTTCTCCAACCATACCCCATCGCACGGCTCCCGAGATTTGACGGACAAAGAGGGTTGTAGTGTGAAGGATGTGGGGCTCAGTTCTTCAGAACCTTGGTCGCAACTCGGTCGAACTGTCGGAAAGAGCGACTGCGGAGGCCTTCGACCGTAGGCTCTGCACTACGAGGGTGTCGCTGAGTGAATGACCGTCACATGGAGGTCCACAATAATGGCAACGTCACCGTTGAAGGTCTTGCTATGAAAGGAAGGAGACAAAATCTTTGTGACCTGTGGTCTCGTCGGTATCGGGCTGTCTTCCGTTAGCAGTCTTGGTGATGGAGAATCCTATGATCAATAGTTCCATGTCACTATCGATCTTCGGCTCAAAGCTTTTGCTCGTTTAATTCCAAGATTACATCCTGCATAGACGGTCGCAATGGATTAAGGGATACATTATCTCCACCTCTTCCTTCAGATCCTCTCGTCACTGGTACTGCTGACAAAAATAGTCGAAAGCGGCGCCCAATTACTTCGAGATGTAAAAGCATACGAGATCTAATGCTGCGTTAAATTCCCAGGTGAGATTAAATCCGGCCCGGGAAGAACTTCCTACCGAAAGTTGCGATCTATTTGCGAAGGATTGCTGCTGATACCCACCAACGTACACACCCAAAGTTCCTCGCGAAAAGACTTCAAATTCGAGGGCGAGCCCACAAGATTGCTGCTGATTTGAAAGTCGATTTGCATCTTGCGCGAGCAAAAGAAAAGGCGCGCACCGTATATGCGCCGCCGTATGGCAAATTTCTGCATCCATCGTCCAGAAGCCTATGGAGCGCCTTGAGCTAACCAGGTAGGCACGGATGTCGCTGCTTCCGAGTGGAGAACACCATGAGCTGGCGGGGAAAGTGACGTTTGCAGGCTTTGTTGCAGCGCACTTCCTGTGTGTCTGGAGATCGAGCGCGAAAGACAGAGAAGATAACGCGTTTCAAAAGCAAGATGAAAGAGGGGAGAGTGGGATCTACACATAAAAATGATGCGACGGCCACGGAAGCGCCATGACCCCTGCAAGCTTCCGCAGGGCAAAACTGCGGGGCCGGGAAACGCCCTCGGGATGCAGGTGAGCCAAAATCGCAACCCCATTGAAACCTGAATCAGACACTTCTCAGAGATATCAGGGGTCTTGCAAGCTGCTAGTACATAGATCGGTCATCTTGCTTTTGTCCCGAGGTCGGAATGGGGGTGTGGAGATCTACGGCTGTCGGCTGCCACGGACCCTCTGCGCGTTCCGCGCAAAAGCAACCTTGATGCGCCTTCGACGTTCGTAATCGAACAAGACGTTTACCGTTCATGAGCGAGGTCTTATCAGTGGTGTTGAGTAATCCTAAGAACAATCTAACTTTCTTGGTCTTTACGTGCATACCATACCTCGGTACAGTGATTCGGTGGGCTCAAATTATCAAGGTCAAGGAGTGAGGGACGGCAAGTCTAATTAAAGCAAACCTACACGCTATAGTACATTGATGCACACCTCCAAGCAAGTTGTCAGCAGCTGTATCGTTGGCGAAAATTTCACTGTCAATCTCACGACAAATATGAGAATACAATGGTTGAGCATTGCACAAGTATTCGGCCTATTCGTGATGTTGCAAGTAGCTTCTATTAAGTATGTGATGGTAACAAGTAATCTACACAAATCGCTTTTGTTCATACGAAATCGTCCCTCGAAGTGACGGTAGTGGTGATGGTAATATCGCCCGGGTCCTTCGGCTCATGGTTCCAAGCGTTGTTCCCATGACTCTCCCTGAGTATCGTCTCCTCGCTTGCTGTATCACTCCCCATCCGAACTGTTGTCTGTAAAACACTCTCCCCAGGGCCCATGTATATTTTGTCCGACTTCCTACTTCCATCCATACCACGGCTGCTCTTGGACTTGGAGTACTCCTTGAGTGGATAGGAGTTCTGGCCTGAGGAGTCGCCGCGTGAACCGTATTTGATGCGGACGTAAAGTGGCCGAAGAACGGGAACACACGCGCAAACAATCGTGAGGAATACTTCGGTGGAAGACCAAAGAAGCATACTCGCGGTGTCGTACACATAGTTCTCCATTGAGGACATGGATCGTAGTTCAATGGTACGGACAACAGAGCACGCACCGGCAAAAATGCCCAAAGAAAGACCAGATGCGATCGTGATCTTATCCTTGCGTTTCATATTGAGTCCCATGATAATGTGCCAAGCTAGAAACGGTCAGTGTCTACTTTGGAGTGGTACACAGCAGGGTAACGTACGAAGGAGAGCGAGAACGAAGTCCATAGCTGCAGACCAAGCGCCCATCGTTAGACCGACCTCGGTGAAGTTCAGCCAGCAATAGCCGCCTTCGATTGTCTGATCCCATAAGAACGCCGATGGTACACACTGAGTGTACAGAAGCGTTGTTGTGATGATGCAAAGCACTGTCGTACTCGCTATGCAAAACCAGAGGATAGCAATGTGCCATCTCTTGAGAACAATGCGCAGGAGAAACAGTGCAACTGAACCCTTCGAGGCAGCTATTCCCATGATGCAGATGCCTTGACCGATGGCTTCCCACATGATCGATTTGGAGTAGTTGAGGTCGAGTCGTACAATGTCGGCCGTCTGTTTGCCAACACCATAGGTGATGCCAACAGACACGCAGCCAACATAACCGATGAAGGTAGCCTTCGGAAGTTAGTTCCTTGAGCGTTTGACTAACCACTAAGTTGAAGTTTGTGAAGATGTGTAAACTCACCAGGTTGACCAACATCAGTACGTCGTCCCAGCCGAGATTTCTCACAATATACTGTCTTGTGTACATTCGCAATGCAACAAGCACAGTGCCAAGGACGACTTGAGACCACATCACCCCATTGAGTATGTCCGCAAAATCCGCTGGCTTGCCCATCTTGATTGCTGGTATCTGGGTATGGTTGGAAACCTGGGAGGGGCCTCTCTCCTCGTCGTTTGCTATTCCAGTGTGCCGCTGATGAGCGTGTAGGCTTGTGTCCAAAGAAGAGACAATTATGGATGAGGTGAAGGCAGCCCTGTGCTCGGTGCCAAAGGTTTTATGTTCAGATCAACAACTCGAGTGGTGGCAAGGAATGTTAGACTGACGCATCTATAGCCTCAATTGTGCCCTCGAAGACATCCATGCTGAAGAGCAAACATACTTGCATGTACGTCCACGGCCCGAGCGCATCATTGCGACCCCGTTGTGGCTATGGGGAACTGAAGGGGGGCCGGGTTTCCAAGCCAAAACAAACCGCTAATCCTCGGGACCTGCATAGGCAATCAAACAAGGCATAGTATCAAAGCTTTGTTGCCGTTCTTGTCGCTCCCATTGCCCTGCAAAGAGGCGCTATGAGTGAGGTTTCATGCAAGTGAGGCCTCGAAAAAAAGCAGTCCTCCGTTAAAACCTCATGTAGCTTGACGTTGGTAGCTGTTTTCGCTTTACCGCCAAACTAGTTCCCGTCTTTTGCTTCACTTCTTCCAAGGGTAGTTCATTCTGCGTACCCAGGAGCGGTGTTGAGCACAAATTCTTCGCAACTACCGGAGCAAAATATCCCGTTGACGCTTCACGTGCCCAAACATCTTGTATCTTGCAGCTTGCATAGCACGAAGGAAGAGATGGAATGCTTTTTTCTTTTGCTTGCGGGTTGACGCAGCACATCCTGCGGCCCAACAGGAATTGTTGTAGATGGGTCCGCTTCGTCTGATTCGCTGAGGGCGAATTTTCCGCGTGATGAGGAATGCCCCAGATTGAGCGCTCAGGTGGAGTAGGATGGTGTTCCTTCACCGTTCAGCGATGAAGCTAAACGCATCAGGACCAATGAGTGTCCAAAATTCGGAGTGTGCGACTGAGGGTTATCCACTGTCACCGAATGTGGAGGCCTATCCGGTTTAGATCTCGTAACATCCCGTCTCTGGAATGCGGTGCTGTGCACTAGTCAACTGGGCCACGCCCTTCGCGAAACCTTGGATCGTTCATGCTACGCAAGTGGCTTCGAAATGGCATTGCGAAAATTTGTTCTTGCATGCGCAATTCGACGATCTGAAGTCGTACAGGAACGTTTGGCCTTTCCGTGACGGGCCGTTGCCCGCACTACTAATCATGAGGGTCAGCTGTGGGCCACGCCAGACTCGGCTAAGCGATCTTTAGTGGCGTTTCAATCACACATCCGACGGATCAACCTCGGTCTAACCAGCAGCGGCGTGCGGAAAGGAGTGAAGGTGCGAAGGATTCAGATCCTACGAGGCAGTTTTCCAGGACTGTGGAACGCAGATAAGCGTGTTCATCTGCGCCATTGTCCGGGGACTGTCAAGAGATGCATCGCAACCACCGTAGGAGCTTGATGCGGTTGAACCTGCAGATGGAGCGAACTTCACCTGCCTCACACCTGCTTTTCAGGACCCGGTCGGTCCCCACATGATTAGCCTGTGTTAGTACCCGTGAACCGTAAAACTCCACACCTCCCGCTGTCACTCCGTCACTAGTGCAAGAGACCGCTTCCCCGACATTCGCGATGGCTGGTACGACCAATGGCTAAGTCTGGGATTGCGATAGTAAGGTGGTGGGAAAAAGCAATACACGCCATGGATGTACACAAGCGGTGCCTTGCCTTGCTCAGGGAAAGTTGAACTTGGCTTCAGCAGCACCAGGGCGACCAAGCAAAGTGACTCGATCCTAGCCCCGTCTTCTTACATATGCTAGACCGATACCTGAACATGCGGCTGCTACGTGATTCGGAACAATCTGGAGCGGGAAGGCCTCGTCACCAGCATTACCATATTATTAATCCTCTTCCCACTCCTATGGTTGTATCCTTCTTTCCTTTTCAGAAT